TATTATAAACATAAAATATTTTTTGAATTATATTATATTAAAAATATATTCAATAAACTTGAATTATTTTAATAATCATATTTAAAAACATTTTAAATTTCCAAATTTAATAGAATTATTAAATATTAATATTTATTTAAAATTTATGCTGACATTTATGTGATAAAATATTCACATTCCTTTTATATACAAAATTGTAATGATTGAAAATATTTTAAATGAGTATCATGTAGTGAATAAAGTAAATTTCAACTATTGACATTGATCAAGTACATGGACAAATTAAGGTAAGTTAAATTTCGAAGATTAAAAATACCTCCAATAACTGATGCTGTCCATGTGAAAGCAAAGCAATAACGCTTCTTATCTTCGTTATTCTGCCGTACAATTAATGCTTTTCACTATATTGCCTAATTTTTATTTAGAAAAGTCCATTTCAGCTGCATTCAATACTATAAAATTATTATATCATGATTAATAAAATATTTTAAATAAAAATCTAAATTTTAAATACCAGTATGATAACAGCTGCATTAAATTTCATACACTAATATATTTTTTTTTAAGACAAGGTATAAAATATATTAAAAAACCATCATAAAAATATAAATATATATTCATATATAAAAGAATAAAATTATTATTTAAAACAACTATTAAGATTATAAATTTCACTGAATTGGACTTCTCTGTTGCTGATATATTTAATTAGCTAATAAAATTTCTAAAAATGTATTATTTAATAGCTTTTTTTTAAAACTTATGTATAAAAATAAACTGATTTTTATTAAATTTTGTCAATTTTAATAAATGTAATAATATTTATAATAAAAAAACTATAATAAAATATAATTAACAAAAACTAAATGAAATATAATCTGTTCAAATCTAATAATGTGTTCTAAAATTGTCATTTAAAAAGAAACTAAATATCTATTTAGGCACTTAGTTGTATATAAATAATTTCTCTTCTTTATATGAAAATCTGAAAAGTAGAAGAAAAGTTGAAGCAATTTCTAAACACAAATGCAAAAGGTATTTGAAACTGTTTTTGAAATTAGCAAAAATTTGCTAATCCTTAATATCTTAATAAACAAATTGTATCCAAAATAAAAACTCTGAGGAATATAAATTGCATGCCCAATCATAGAACAAAATTAAGATTGAGCAGAAAAATTTTTTGACCTCTTCTGAGATTCAAATTCATGTCATTCAATAACATGCTGATTAAATTAACTATATAAGCTATTAGATATCATATTTATAATGCTTATCTTCATATTAATTTACAATTTTCTAAAAATTATATAAAACTAATAATTTCATATTAATAAAAAATATATAAAATATTTTTTAATATAAAACAAAACTGAGAATAATAAATTTTTATAATGAAATGTCTTTAATGAATATAACTAAGAATAACACAAAAATTTCTATCACGTGATAAAAACATACATTTTTAATTTATAAATTTTCATCTTCAAGTTTCAACCCAATGTTACATTATAATGTCTCAAATGCTATTATGATTAATACTGTAAATAAAACTGTCCTTTTTATCATAATAGCATTTGAAACGTTGTTATTTTTTTATAATAATTTTCATTTTAGGTGAAATTCATGGAGTAAATACCTTGACTCCATCTTAGAAATCCAAAAGTCAAAAAATTGTAGCCTATATTTATATAACTTGTTAGAAAAAGCTTTTTAATGTGATAAACGTTTTTGAGAAATATCTATTCCAGCTAGTGGCAGATCAAAACCTAAAAGGGAAACTAACTTAAAAATTTAAAGTATTTGAATAATTATAAGTACATGTGCAAGATGATTGTATTGTGGACTGTCTGATAAACCATTGTTTTTAATAGCATTTATCATGAAAACTATGTTTTGAAATTTGAACAAATAAATTTTAACTTTTTTTGTGTCAATGGGGAGGGCTTAAGCCCTGAATTCTCCATGGATCCATCCAATTCTAGAACTTCAAACCACTACAAAATTCCTTTAACAAATCGAATACTTTTCTCAGCATTAAAAAAACATAAAACTAACAACATAGATCAAATACATTAAATTTAAATTCAAATAACAAAAGTAAAATTTTCACATTATTTGAAAAAATATGTTCAATGATAACAATCAGTATCACATTAATTTCTTAAAGCTCAAATTCATCGGTCTAGACTAGTTCACGGGTTTGTACATTTTCAATATTAGATAAGTCATTCTTGAACATCACAAGTATTCTCTCTTCCATTATACAAAGAGTAAGCAACTTACAGTTCAACAAAATTAATGATGCTTCACCCCATCCAATGTTCACCTTGATAATGCAGTATTATCCTCATATTTGTCCAAATCTTTCCTAGGTTCTCTAATTTGAGTATTGAGGAAGTGAAAGATGCTATGCTGAATATGCAGACTAAATCTCAGCTTTCGTTTTTGTATGAATTAAAAATTTCTCATTCCTAAACAAATCATCATATGTTTTTCATTTTTCTCATCATTAGCATCTGGATGACTTGATCTACAACATATCTTAAAAGTCAAGTGGCTCATAAACCTATGACATAACAAAGTTTCTACTCTCGTGCATCTGGTTTTTGTACCTTGCCACTAATTGGTTTTCTTGCTTTCCTAACCAGTGAGCTATTACAGACTTCACAGGACCCTTGCTGTCTCTCTAATTATTGACAATTCAATTTTTGATATTGACAATTCTTTGTCTAAGATTTCTGTACTAGACAAAAACTAGATAACTTTTCTAGCCAAACTACAAAAAGATGAAATTTTATATTTAAGAGGCTATTTCAATGTCACACATGAATAAGTTTGACTTGAAATCAGTTTTCTGTAGATCAATATATGCAAGGCTTGGAAAATCTGAATTTGGATGTCCAGGTGGTGGACAGAAACATTGATGATGTGTTTCAGTCCATAATTTATAATTTGATTCAAACACACAAAAATAATAATAAAAAATCAGTTTTAATAATATGAAATTTTTCTTATTCTCAATCACTTTAAAAATTATATACTACTAAGGGAAGCAGTATAAAAGTAACATATATAACTTATATGATTTCTGCATTTCCATTTTATCTATCAATATAATTCCACCTTTTTAAATTTTTGTATTGTATTTTCTTTCACAATGAATATATGTGTTCATTGAAACTAAGTTAATGGTAAGAAGACATATTATTAATCAGAAAAAAAAATAAACTGAGAGTAAACTAATTTTTCTTATTAACAAAGTAGGTTAATAAAAGTACATTTAAATGATTATGTTAGTTATTGCTTAACTAAAATTTGCACAAAGTCTTAATATACAATCTTCTTTATTTATTTATTTATTTATTTTCTGCAAATTTTAATTATATCTGTAATAAAGATAATAAAATAAGCTTTTTCTTATATCTTTATAATGAAAGCAAAATAATATAGTTTAAAATAGTTTAATTAGAAATTATTCTGTTTAACTATTTTTGCTTAATTAATGTTTAACTTGTAATTATTCTTAGAATAACTTATATTTGATTAAATTTATTCAGCTTAGTTTTTTTAACAATTTATTTTTTTTAAGTAAGCTTTTTAACTAATGAATTTTTCTACTTTTTTTTTTCTTTTGCATTTTTAAAATCAACATATTATTCTGCTTTTTGATATTATCTAACAGCAATAACAATAATTATTACTCACAATTGTTAATGCAGTGGAACAGCCAGTGAGCGAAGTTAAAGGTGTTACCAAAGAAGTAGAAACTACTGAATTGGTGAAAGAAGAAACAACTTTTCATCTCAAAGAAGGTTGGCATGACTTACAGCATGAATGGATTTCTACTTCAAAGCAATATAATCAGATGAGATTCCTTTCATTGCTGCAAATTAAAACTATTAGTTTAACATTATCAAAACTTATAAAAATTTATATATTATATAATTTATATATTAAATGCTAAGTAATATAAAGTAATTCCTGCTCATTAATATATAAAATAATGTACAGATATAGTAAAGATATAAGATTTTCAATTTAATTGCCATACGCTGCTTTTAATCTATTCTATATTCTCTTAATCGAGTTTATTTTAATTTATATAAATTTATATATCAAATATAAATTAAAAAGTAAATTTACAATATGCAAACTAATTAATTTTATATCAAGTTTTAAGCTAAATATTTATATTTTAATTACAATATTGGTTATTTTTATAGTGAAAAAAAACTAAAGTTTAGCTTTTATTACCTTTTTTTTATGCATGTTTAATTAATAATAATTTATTAAATTTATAACAAATAATTCAATGTCATGTCTATGCATGATCAAGACATGTTGTTGAATATGAGAAAGAAATGTTTTGTTTCTTCTGCATTGTTTGCAAACGGTATTTCTGGTAAAGGAAGGATGCTTGAAACAAATTTTATTTATTTATTTATGTGTTAGAAATAGATTATATTTCATATAATGTTTTGTTATTTATTAATAAGAAAGTAAACTGCATGATTTATTTTATGCATGAGTCAATGATAGTAATGGGCTACACACTATAAGGAAAAGGTAAGTGATGATTACAGGTAAGTCAGATATTATGTACTATACCTGTATTTACATTATGTATGTAAATATATGTATATTTTTTATAATTTTTATATAAATGATTAATTATATTTTCAATTTATTTATTGTTTTTCTTGTGTTCTTTATTAATATTTTTTATTATACAACAAATTTCTTGTTATTCATACAAATATTGATATATCTCTAGACACTAGAATTATAGAAGATGAGTTTGAAGTCACGGAAGAGACAGGTTCGATATCAGTAGAATTTTATTTTATAAATATTTATATTTTTTCTTTTCTCTTTCAGCTTTTAACATGGCTTAATATGCAGCAGCTTCTACATCTGTTTATTGTAGAATTAAATAAAAATCTAACAAATTTTTATTTCAGGAAATTACCATACTGATTGATAATCAACATGCTTCACAAGGAATTGCTTTCTGACATCTAAAATAGCTTTAATTTGTTTAACATTAATTTGTTATCACATATTTATATACACTTTATAAAATCAGTTATATCTACAAAACTTGTAAATATGTATGTTTATTTTATCATCATTGTGGTCTGATATGATATTCAGCTTATTATTAGATGTAGATAATCAGATTCTGAGAAGATCATTTTTTTATCTGATGGCTGAAGGGTTAAGGCATCAGGCTACTGCCTGAAATCAAGTCTGGGCAGAGAACCCTAGGAATTTTTTGTGACTTGACTCATATTTTGGATACCAATCTTCATAATATGGTTGTCACCATTGTGGGCCTGGCCAAACATAAGATGGGCATGGAGAAAAGACAGTCTTAGTTCCCACAGAAAGAAAGAAAGGAAAAATAAAAAGAAAAAATTATTATTTTTATCTACAATTCTTTAACAACTGCTACTATACAACTGGTTAATATTAGACAAAAATAAACACTGTAAAAACCTAACAAACCAGTGAGAAAATTATACACAAAGGCACTTTGCATATAATTTTCAGTGTTTACTTTTACAATTCTTTGTCTTTTCAAAAATAATAATATATTGTTATCCAAATGACAATGTGGAACAAGTCACAATTACACCTGATTCTGTTTGTCTACGCTCTTGATGGACCACTTAAATGCATAATAGAAAAAGAGATTCAACTGACTTGCTCAAAAATGTTTGGGATTTTTTTTCTATCAGTTGGTTCTAATAAAATGTTGTTTGTATGTTATCATGCTTAAAATAGAAACAAAAATTTCTTCTAAAAGTTAACAGAAAATAGTTTAAAAATTATGCCTCCACAATGATTTATTCAGTTAGATTGGATTGATAAAATAAGACAATGAAACATGATGGTGATCTGCAAAGGGGACAAACCACCCAGGAAGACTTTCTTTAGGAAACTGGCTCTATTTAGGTGTTAGACAAATAAAGAAAACTTGGAAAACCCCATGCAGCCAGTCTGTTGGTCAGGTACAAACTCACAACCAACTACCATATTCAGTAGTTTCATCCACTTGGTCACTGATGGGCTTAGTTGATAGTCATTAAACTGAAGTTACTAAAAGCTAAATTTTGTATTGTTTCCCAAAATACTTTATATATTCAAATTTATAATTAAAAATAAGAACAAGTAAATTTGGCAAATAAAGTAAGACATTTACTT